GAGAAAATAAGATTATATTTATGATTGTATAATTAATTGGTATTTGGTTATCCCAATATATTAATTAGCGAATAAATGAATGGCAATAAGCAGTTATACATTTTGGTTCATCATATCTACAATTTTAGCGGTGATCATTCCTTCCTCAGAAAGATTCATGTGTGAATTAGATTGATTGTCAATTTGTTATGAGTCAAATTAGTTTATAACTAATTTATATTTGTTATGATACTTGATTTTTTTTTTGTTTATTCTGTTTTCTTATTATAAGGTTTGTTACTTTCTTTCATATATATATATATATATATATATATATATATATATATATATATGTGTGTGTGTGTGTGTGTGTGTGTGTGTAAAATATACATGTGATTCTCCAAATTCATCTCACAACCTCCTTCTTTCTTTCATAGTTAACCTCCTTCTTTTTTTAATAGCTATCCTCCTTCTTTCTTTCATAACGTACATAGCGTAAGAAACTCCTGTATAAGAACTTGTTTCTTTCATAGAGTACAAATGTCCTTTCCAAGTCATAGTCTCCCCCCCCCAAACACTAATCCATTGTGTGATTCTAAAAAACATATGCCTGTACTCTACTCTACCACTCTCCCTTTTCTATGACTTCTTCTCTCAAAACCCAAACATGCCCTTATCCATCCTCCATCATAGTTAGTTACTCACTTTCACTCTCTTCCATCTTCCTCTCTCTTTCTTCTTTGTCTCACTTCTTTTCCAATGAAAGGTGTCTTGTCTTTTCTTCCCGAGCTCAGAAACTACTTTCTGTTGCTTCTCCTGGCAATGGAGCTCCTGCTGCTTCTTCTCTCACCCTTTGCATCTCCTCTCAGTAGCGACGGTTTGTGTGCACTCTCACTCAAGACACCCCTTTTCGTTCATTTGTTTCCTTTGCATGGCCCAGAGAGAAAATAAGATTATATTTGTTTCCTTTTCATTAATTCGTATTTGGCTATTCCAATATATTAGTTAGGGAATAAATGAATCTCAATAACCAGTTATACGTTTTGCTTTATCATATCTACAATTCTAGCAGTGATCATTCCTTCCTGATAAGGATTCATGTGTGAATTAGATTGATGCTCGTGTATATATATATATATATATATATATATATATATATATATATATATTATTTTGTTATCTTTTCCAGTTTTAATTGTTAATTTATTTTTAGTCAAATTAGTTTTTAACTAATTTATATTTTTTATGATTCTTGAATATTTTTTTGTTGTTGTTTATTCTGTTTTCTTATTCTAAGGTTTGTTACTTTCTTTCATATATATATATATATATATAAAATTTCTGCATAGTTTTATGTGGGGATTGAATAAATAAGATTAATCTTTTATTCTTTCGAGTTTTAATTGTTAATTTGTTACTGTAAGAGAGTTCTGCTGCAAGCCCATACACAGTCTCCCAGCAAGTCGACATAGCCTTCCTCGACTTTTGTCAGTCAAAGATTTCAGGAACCGTAGTTTGAGATGTAAAATAGTAGATACATAAACGAATAAAATAAAATATGTTTGTATATTTTTTTTAATATTGGTTATTTATTTTAGTTTCTTAAAAAATAAATATTTTTATGTCTGTAAAACTAAAAGGTATTGTGACATTTAGTTTTGAGTGATGTGTGAGAAGTATAATGAAACATGTAAAATATGAATAATTCACTTTTCCATTACTAAAATCTGGAGTTTCTGATTGTTGAAGACACATACATATTTTCAAAATATTACTTTGTAAAGAAAAAATGTCAGAATATTAATGAAGATCGGAAGCAAAAATGAATTTTTGACCCATTATCAACAAACATATCCTTATACTTAGTAATATATATAAATTCTATCAAAATTAATTTATATATACTTAGTAATATATATAAATTCTATCAAAATTAATTTATATTTAAGAAGTTTATCAAGAACACTTTAATTAATATTTTAAATGACAATATTTTTTTATCTATTTTATATTTAAATTTTATAATTATTTTTTAAATTTAATTAACCACCTATAATAAAATTATAAAAAAAAACATATATGTGTAAACGAATGAGTTGACTAATATTAAATAAAAAGTAATTAGATTGTTATAGTAATATAGTTACTCCCTCTCACTAATAACACATTATTTATTATTGGACTCTACACACTCAATTTAATAATTTTACAGGATTAAATGTATTTTTGGTCCCTTAACTTTTAGTGAAAATTAGAATTAGTCTCTCTTCAAAAGTTTGGTCTAATTTAGTCCCCAAACTTTAGAAATGTGTGAATTTAGTCCTTATAACTAAATTTTGTTAGGTTTATTTGATATTTCAAGTGTGTTTCATCATAACATTTGAGTTATTTACACCTACACCGTTTGACACATTTTTGCTTCAATATTAACTAAAAAATGTGTTTAAAACATTAAATAAAGTTAACAAAATTTAGTTAAAAAGACTAAATTCACACATTTCTAAAGTTTGAAAACTAAATTAATCCAAAGTTTTTGAAAAAGAACTAATTTCAATTTTCGGTGAAAGTTAAGCAAAAACATATTTAATCCTTTTAAGATACCATGGTGCAGTTAATTTTTAAGTATGTTACGAGTGAGAGAACTAACAAAACGGGCCAATATAGCCCATAGATACACAATAGTCAGTAGTACTAATACATCCACTATTCCTATATTTATTTAAAATTGAGACTTAAAAGTTTAAATATTTTTTGGATACTTAAAAGTTTAAATATTTTTTGGATACTAATTGACTTTCTATATATACTAAGAGTCGCACTAAGAAACATAAAATCATTGAGTATTGTGTGTGATACATTATATGAAAAAGGTAATATTTGAGCCAAAGAGGGAAACCGCTGCTAAAAAAAGTAAGATTTGTCGATTAATATTTTTCTTTCTTCAATCTCATCTAATTCATTGATTAACTTAATTTTAGGTATGAAATAAATAAGTTGTTTAACGAATTAGAAGAGATAAAAAGAACAAATCTTGAGAAAATTGAAAAAGAAAATTAATTCGGAAATTCAAGTCGAAGGATAACTATTGCATAAAAATAACTATCACATACCACTTACAAAAAAAAAAAATCAAACAAAATTATAATCAAATAATTTTGAATAGTAAATAAACAAATTTCATAAGAACAAGTACTTCAATTTATGGTATATTTAAAACTTAATTAAATCATTTAAATATGTAATCAAAATTGAAGATAAAATTCAATATTTAAAATAAAAATATATTTAATCGCAATTGTGATTTTCATTTATATAAGAATTATCACGTCAAATGATAAAAAGGAATGATTTATAGACGAGTGTTTGAGTTTAATTTCTTAAAAATGTATATTTCATAAAATAATTGCATATCTATTTTTATCTATTTCCCTAATTTATTTATTATAATAATAATTTTTTTCTTATTTCAATAAAAAAATTATGTTTGCTTCTTAAATAGATAATTATTTCAAAAGTTTTTTATTCAAAAAAATTATTTTAAATTTAAATAAACTGATATTTATTCTAAACCAAACGAGTGACTAAACATACATAATCTCACTTGTTGAATAACGAAAATTAATATAAAGTTTAAGGAAGAAATCAGATATTAAATATAAGATGCAATTTTTTAAATTAATGTCAATCTTACTTAAAAACCATATTGATGTAACAACCCTAAATAACTAAAAAAATTTGGTTAATAATATATATGTAAAATGGGTATTGACAATTAATCTCACATGTATTATACATGTAGTTGATAATAAGGATATTATTTGCTTATTTGCTATTATGAAATTTTGACATTCATTTCATATTATATAAATCAAATTACAATTGGATATCAACTATTTAACTCTTTATTTAATATTAAATACAAATAAACCTATAACATTTTGATTACGGAGATATATACACATGGTATGATGTTTTTTTATAAAATCTTGCGCTTATCATAATTTTTTTTTCTCTAATAAATTCAACATTAACAATAACCTTTTTCTTATCCAAAACCCACAATTTTTATCCCAAAATTGCCATGACACATTTTTCTCGGTGATATTGACCCCGTAGACAACAAAATTTCATTCAACTCTCTCGTCACCTAAACCTCATTTTATACATAAATATAATAAAGTCAATATGACTTCAATCAGAATTCTTATACTTATATATATATATATATATATATATATATAAATTATAGACATTTTTTCTTAAAAATAATTATATTCATATAATTCATTCAATAATTTTAAGTATTTTTCAATCACACAATAAACTTCATTTTCAAATGAGATGGTTAAATACTTAGTCATCACAACCAATTAATTTTATTTACATAACAACTAAATCAACTTAACAATCACCAGTACATATATTAGAGTTTAGGTTTTAATATCACATATTCCAAAATTAAAATCGCCATTAATAAGTTTTAATATCACCATTGTTCCCAAAGATAATTCATAAATTTAGATAATTAAAATTTCTTACATCGTTATATTATACTTAGATGTCTCTTAAACCTTCAAAGTTAATAATATGTTTCATTGACAGTTTTAGAACTAAAATACATTTACCATTTTTATTAAAATACTTAAATAAGATAAGCAAATAAAATCCAAATATATAACTAGAAGTAGTTTTACACGATAGTAATCCACACAATATTAATAAGAATAAAATTACAAACAATGAATAAAATAAATTTCAATAACAAAGATAAATAATAAAATGAGACGATTAAAATTCACTAATAAAATTGGAAAGTGAAGATAGGTTATGGAAATCTCACAAAAATAAAATAAACCTAAAAAATAAAAACAAATAAATATTAAAATAATTATAAATAGAAAATATATAAAATTTTAATATATATCTTTTTATTTCAAAAATAACTAGTCGAAGTAAAAATTTATTGTTCAATTGAACAATTCTAAAATTATTTTAAATCCACAAGCATAATGGATAAGAAAAGAGCGTAAAATTTAAGCAAGTAAACAAGGAAGAGAAAACTATCACACCCGATATGGTGAAAGTTCGGCCAGAAAACTCCAGAAACCATACTCGGCTTTCTAAACAGCCTATATATATACACGATTTCTCAGGAGAAAATGCTAACTCCTACAAAAATTTCTCCATCATCTTCACTGAACATTGGATCTAACTTGTATGCCTTGAGCAAAGTGTATGATATTGTTAAAGAAATAAATAAATAGGCAAACGAAAAAGCTCATGCAAGCTTCTTCATTTCAGTTGGTTTTATTTTAGAAAAGATGAGTAGTACGAACTCAATAAAAGTCAATTGTGCCAGATAAAATGATGGGAGGATTGAAGTCAATTCGGGATGCTTTCCCCGCGGCAAACAACTGCGGTAACATGTTGGCCTCCTTGGGTGCAACACCTTGAGCAGTCCATAAGGTTATATGAGGCCACGGATTTTTTGAGACTATCTTCTCACCTTCCACTGAGCCGGGACAAGCTTCCAACGCAGCCATTTTATCTGAGAAGAGTAGTGCTGCTAACTCCACCGGAACCTTTTTATTAAGATAGATACCATAATCAGCTACAGCTTTGATGCCGTGGCTTCTCTTGTGGGCAAGAGTCACATGAGCTCGATTAAGGTTCTCGAGATGTTTGTCTTTAAGGAATGCGTCAATCTTGGGATTACTCTCGGCCAACTACATTATACATATTAATGCATCAGATACTGTTTCTTAATGGAACTATACTACCAGTTAATTATACTCACACCTGTCAAGTCTCTTGACTGTTGGAATTAATAAGATAGATTCCAATAAAAACCAGTTAATTATACTGCCACTAAAAGAAAATATACAGTAATTTTCTGCTTGTTCAGAATCTCCAACCTCACCAAAAAAAAACAAAAAAACTTTACTCTCCTTATTTTTAAATATCTTTTACTTTCTTATTCAGGTTGTCTCTTCAATGCCCTTATAATTACAATTACAAATCAACAATTAAACTGAGCAGAAACAAGTTAGTTTGAGTATATATAACAAAATGCAACTAGAAGAGTAAAAATTTCCATTACTTTATTGAGGGCGCCTTTAATTTCAGTAACTGGCGTGGTGAGAGCAGCAAAAACAATGGTACCAAATTTCCTTATTTCAGTATCCGGTGGTGTGTAATCTCCCTTCGCAATGCTTCTCAACTGTTCCAACACTTGCTTGACAGTAAATTCAAATGGGACCTGCAGACGTTTTTAGGAAATTAGTAGCACCAAAATGTTATTAAAATGCTAAATATTGTTAGCTGTGGACAAAAAGAAGTGAGAAAAAAAGGCTAGATGTACAAACCTGAATAGAATTAAAATACTCGGCATTTCCACAAAGTATATCCCGTAACTGTTTCTCCCATTTTAACCATTCTTTTGCGTAGGATCCTTTGGTAGACTCTAATCTATCAGATTAATGATCATTAAGATTGTCAGCTTCTCGGTTTACACCAGAGAGACTAAATAGAGTAAACAGGAGCCATCGACATATTGTTGTCAATCATCAAGATAACATATATCACAAGTCATTCATACTTCATTGGCAGCTAAGTGAACATCAAGGGATAGAAAAATTCCAGTGCGTTGCAGCACATGATTGTTAGAGGGAGACATGGGTGAGGATATACTATATGCAGCCTACGGTAAAGACCTTCCCATAATCAATAGAGTAAATCTCAAAACTTGACAATTCAAAATGAAGTTTGACCAATAGTTGAATTAAAGATATGAGATTACAGTTTTATCTTAAGACACAAGCAAGAAAAAAACATTTTCTGCATCTTAAAACAAATTTCAGAACTTGAAAGCTTGAGGCACTGGAAATTTCTGAAGCTCTGGTGGTGGCTGATCATAGATAGGTGTTCTTTCACTTTTACTGCAGCTTTTATGCATTTTAATCATATTACATCCAAAAATACACATAATACAGATTAAAAAAGGTCATAAATCCTATTGACGGTTGTTGTAGCAGATAGTGCATCCACTACACACTTAAACATCCCAAATAAAAAAAATAGTGTTATAAATTTCAAGCATGCAAGTAAAATATCTTAAAATTGACCTTCCATGTCTCTTAGTGTGAAGTTTATATAAATCAATTCCTTCCTCCAAAATGGACTGCACTGGGTTAGGAAGGGGATCCCTGCACATTGGGAAAAATACAAATAAAATGTTATTAAGAGAATATATGAATTCAATCCGGCTTCAGAGTCCTAGTGAGCTTTCTATTCATAAATAATGATGGATACAGTTCAAGTTATCACATAACAACAGCAAGTCATCCGAAAAAGCAGGTAAAAGTTAGTTCGACACAGATGTTAAAAGAAAATGATCTGCATGTTAGAACATTTTTTCCTCCTCTTCTTTGATCTCGGTAATTTCTCTGCAAGTTCCGCTATTTCTATGTTTTTATTTTACATATGTCTAATAATGGTATCAAGAGCTTACTTCCTTGGATATAAGGCAAAGTCCTCATTGAGTGCAAATACAATATTGGGTGATTTATTTTTTGAGCAATTGTGGTGAAAATATGTCTTTGAAAATTCTCTATCCATCATTCTAATGTTTAATGAAGAGAACTATTATATTTGGACAGTCAAGATAAAGTTTGTTTTCAAGTCTCAACGTTTATGAAACATTGTAATATTTGACACTAATCCACAACCATTGAAAGAAATCCTTCTCTTCCTCAGCTTAAAGCTTTTGAGGAAGATATACTGAGGAAATATGAAACTCTTACTTGCTGTATTCAGGACTTGCATGCCAAATTGTACCAAAATTACGTACTTGGAAACACCTAAAAAGTGTTAGGTATGATCTAAGATGAAATAGAGGGCAGTAACAAAGCCAAATCTGTTAAGACTTCTCACATTGAAGAGAAAAATTTGAGTGATGAAAAAGGACAAGAAATTTGTCAAATCTGACAGGTTAACAAATTTTGTTAATCAAATGCAATTTTGGTGAGAGACATTTTACTTATCAAAAAGGCTGTTGAGAAAAATACATGGGTTTCAGTGCTAGAAAAGTTTGTAGTCTATATCTTTGCAATTGTGAAGTCTTTCAGATTTACAGAAAGCTCACAATAAGAAGTCAAACGAGCAAGCTTCATGTATGAGAGAGCAAACTGTCTCAGTAAATTGTGAAGTAATTGACGGTTCCTTTTGAGCAAAACATAATGGAGGATGTTGGAGATATGATTTAATTACATTAAAAAACGAGATATGATATGATTTTATAGTTAAATATTTTACCAAATATTTGTCTTTGTTAGATGTTGATATTTTACCAAATATATCTCTTCCTTATTACTGTTGGAAAGTCCACATCGACTAGAGATAAAATCAATTTACAATATATAAATGGGTGCAAATCTCATCTTACAAGTCGGTTTAATGGGGTTGAATTCGGTTTAAAGTCTATTTCTTAACATGATATCAGAGCCATAGTTTATGGCGCATCCTAGCGAGATTTGTGTTTGTTGGGCATATAATTCCACCCGCTATCAGACTATCCATTAATGTCTAATTCTAAGTTCGAGATGTATATACATCAACGTGAAGGGAGTGTGTAGACAATCTCACATCAACTAATGATAAGGTCAATTTACAATATATAAGTGGGAATAAACCTCACTTTACAAGCCAATTTTGTGGAGTTAACTTAGGTTTAAAGTCCATTTCTTAACAATTACAAATAAGAATACCCATGTGTGAACACACATGCAAAATTCATTACATTTCTTTTCTTCTCTCTCTTCTTAACACAGGACCATCCTTCCTATCACCAATCTTTTCAACAAAAGACATTTTTTACAATTTTCTAGTAATAAAGGGAAAGTTCAAGCTTCTTCCAGAAAAGGAAACTTTTTGCCTTGTTCTACTACTACCAACGAACCAACCATGTCAAAGAAGATTGTTGGTACAAAGATAAACTTCATTTTAACTGTAATTGTTTCTAGAAATAAACTTGGTCACAGTTAAAAAAATTATTGCAAAGTGAAAAAAAAAACAACTTGAGCAACATGAAAAGAGAACATGACATTGACTACTAGTATTTATTTATGACATCACAAAAACTTAATTCCAATGAATTGAATATTTGGCTTATTAAGAGAGGTTGCACCAGCCACGTGACTAAATGTTTTTCCATATTTTCCTCTATTGACATATCAATTGAACCCAAAGCCAAATTAGGAAATAGTGAAATTGTGCAAGCCAAAGGAACATGAATAATTTTTATATCAACAAAGAAATGAATGATAATTATAGATGTTTTCTACATTTCAAAACTGGATCAGAGTTTTCTTAGTGTTACACAACAGGTAAGAAGGGGATTTGCAGTCTCTGTCAAAGAAAACTATTGTTTTATCATTGATAAGCATGGGGTTGAGATTGCAAAGATTGGAAACAATATTTGAATTTGAATTTGTAGAAATAAGAGTGGTGCATTTGTTGATGGCAACTTCCTTCATTAATGAAGATGTTGTTTGAGTCAAAGCCCCTTTGATGATTGATGGATCGAGTGATGAAGATTTTGTTCCAAGAATGCTTCTATCTTGTTAATGTAATGGTTCTTTAGGTTTTCAAAATGTTGTAAGTTCTTTTATCTTAATTTCAACATTAAAACAAATTAGAAAACCTATAAATTTATTTTGCAGCCCTATGTTATTTTGAGTTACATTTTAATGGATTGAAATATGTTTCAATATGTTAAAATGTTATTGACACCTGTGAATGGATAATGATAAGATGATAGTACCTATCAGATTTCAGTAGTGGCATCTTGACAAGTGACCCGAAACGCTCAATTAATTCACCCTCAAACTCTTTACGGCTCTGCGAAATATTGGAAAGTTCAGTTTAGGAAATACAAAAATATAAAGAAATTGTAGTAACAATAAAAAGAAGCACTGTACCCTGCCCTCATAGAGATGATAAAACATTAGCAGCACATAGCCAGCATTTGGAGATGCTTTGTCAAGATTTCCCTTGAGAAATTTGAAATGATCAAATAAAGTCAGTGGTAGGCAATAAAACTTTACGTAAAATATATCCAGTAAAACAAAAGTAACAAATACCGGATGATTGACTCGTTGAAGCACGCGAAAAATGAAAATAGCTAATGCATCAAGAGAAAAAGGATTTGAATCGGTTCCTGCACATCAAAATAGAGAGATGGATATTACTAAAATGAAAATAAATGAAGTCCTTCTTTAGCGAGAAACATTGTATTGGTACCAAAATAAGTCAAGTTCTTCACTACCGGGAAACAGAATATGTGAATATGCAGCTAAAAATAAGTCAAGTTTTTACCATCAAGAAACATTACACAACTGTCCTTGTGCTCCCAAGCCAGATCACTATCATCTAATTTTTGTTTTTCCAAATTTTAACCAAAATAAATACTGAGCAAGTTATAAGGGACTAAAGCATATCAAGCAAAATCTTTCAAATTTATGATGTGAAAAAGGACATGTTCCTTACATTTGTTAGCACGCTGTAGTTGATAGTTGATATAGTTTTAAATCAGTTTATATTGTAGAGTAGTGATATAGTTTTCTTATGTACAGCTGAAAGTTTCTGTTAGTATTAATAGAAACAGGACTCCTATAAATATCTTGTACACACTTCAAACTGTTCAGAGTTTAATAAACAGTTTCTTTCATTGTTCTCATTCTCTCTTTTCTCTCAGCTGAAGTTATCTAAGAATATTTAACAAATATTAAAAAACTAGTCAATACAAAGAATTCAGAACTAACAACAAACATTACCTTCAGATTCAGCTACAACAGGTACAGCAGATGCCCTGGTTTTGTGACACATGTCTTCTATCTGCATTTTTAAAAGTGCGACTAGGTTAATTTATAGAAATTATAATAAGCAAATGATACAAATTTGATAGCAAGACAATAATACTTCCAGATGTAGACTAACAGATCAAAAGCAAAAAAAAAAAAACGTAGTTTCTCTCTAAACAAAGTAATACTATAATTCTAGAATAACACTTTATATCCCTTGCAGCAGCATACTTTAACCTTGGATGGAGGCAAATTTCATCCCCCTAAACTTTCTTTCCTTTCATAACACAAATTTCTAAAATGAAAACATTTTCATACAGGTACCTAGAAAGTGGGTTTAACAATGTCTAGTTCTTTTTGGCTGTAATGTTGATTGAAGAAGATATTTAAAAAAATTATGCATTTGTGCATTGTAGTCAATAAGGAATTGAGCTGTCATTGTGTCGTTATGCCCTGTGGCAATTTCAACCACGGCCTGTGCATCACATTGATTTGCTGCTGCAGTCAGTGCAGCCTACAAAAACATACTTTAACCATGTTTTCAGTGGTTTCCCACCCAATTTTGGGGTGACGAAGGAGAATCCCTTGATTCCTTCTCTATGGTAAATGAAGCCTCTTAGGGTTGAAGCCCATCTCACTTGATTAATTTCATTGAAAGCAGACTCTGTTTTGAGCTTTATGAAAATGATTTATTTTCAGGTACCTCAACATCTTTCTTAGACAGACCGAGCTATTTTCTGGTAACCCAAATCTTTTGGCCCTGCTGGTTCCCTCTTCACAGATGTCTAGCACTCTAACTTTCCCACAAGCACTTCATGCCTCTCTGCTCTGTTTTTTCCAAATTTGCATCCCTGTGTTCTCCCTCCTTGTGTTTAGACTATAACATTTCATTACTGATAATGAGTATGTCTTTAATTTTGAGTTTCTTTAGCATTTATATTTGGGCAGTTTTAATCATCTGCCTGACATACCATTTTCGTTATAGCAGCTATCTCATTGCAGGATCTATTTAAATAAATTTCTCCATGAGCACTTACAGGAGAAGAAAATAAGGAAAAATGAAATAAAAATCTGAATTAGCTTTTGGACAGGTTAAAATAAACTTTTAAGAAAACTACTGTAAGGATTTCTACAAATTAGTTAATGCATAAGCTGATTTTAACTTGTGGAGAAACTTCATTTTTTTTTTTGCTTTTCAAATAGGTTTATCTAAACAAGCTCATAAGACACATTTGTTTCAGTCATCTTCTATTCCTGAAAATATGAAGAAGAAATACATATTCCCATGTGTGTTAGACGGTTACCAGCAGTGACTCTCAGATAACTTTATTTCCAGGAAACTTGTATTCCCATTCTTCTAGATAGTTTTCATTCCAATGATGAAGGGGCAGGTAAATGAAATTCCCAAGGAAATATAGGAAGTTATTTAATTCTTACATTTATAAATTTTATTTTTATTTAAATTATTTTGAATTTTAGAAAATATAGCTGGAAATAATCATATATAACCAAACACCTTTTTAAATATACTCAAAGTAATAATATTCCTAGAAATATGATTTTCGGGAAGTAATATGATTCTAAAACAAACACACCTATTTACGCAAAACTTTATAATAACACTACAATATCCCAGCCATCTAAGATGAAAACAAAATACCACCCGCCATAAGATTTTAGTGAATAGAAAATTGAATTTCAAATAAGTGAAATACTTTTTAAGGATTTCATATCAAACATAATTCTTATTTTATTTTGTTTCATCATGTAAATTGAAAACACTCCAAGGAAGAGAAACTGATTAATTATTAAATGTGGCAATTTTACCATAGAAAAATACTAAACCAAATCCTATTTAGCAAAAGGGGACAGAAGTCAAAAGAGAAACAAATAGGGAGACCGAGGAAATATATTCAATAAGCCATAATGAAATTAGTTTGAACACTAACCAGTTTCCAGACTTCTTCATTTGGGGCATTCTTGTCAGCAAGCATTATCGAATTTGGTTTCTTTCTGCGCTCTTCAGCCACTTTCTGCCAATATTTTCCTGTTGAAACTCCACAATACTCCATATTAGTTCTAAGCAGAATTAACCTGATAAACATATGTTCATTCTAGAATAGCATGCTTTATGAAACCCAATTTAAGGTATCTATCACTGCTTAAGTAGTTAATTGTAAAATTTAACAGAGTAATTCTACAAATATTTATAGCTTCTGTACAATAGAGCACTGGAGCAATAGGATATATATATATATATATATATATACACACACACACACACACACATATATATATATATATATATATAATATAGATATGAATCATGCTAAGAACCTCCGCAATTTAAGCACAATTATAAAAAGATTTGAAAGAAAAACTACCTTTAATCAGGTCACCCATGAGACTATGAAGTGGTCGAGCATCTTCTAGCCCTCCTTCGGCATTTAGCAATTCTTTGCAAAGGGAGGACTTGGCACAACCAGGTATTCCTGGAAGAATGGTCAAATACCTTCAGGATGAGTCTTAAACATAAAAAATAAAACACTTGGCTATACAGCTATTAAATGAAACTGTGTTAATTAAGGAAAAACTATATCAACAGTGGAATCTATTGTGTAAAATACAGCTACAATATTCAGCAAAAAGAAAATTGCAAAACCTCCACAGTGAACCTGACTAAAACAAAGTATAACCAATAAGAAAAATTTGAAGTTTACTTGAAACTCATTCAATTCAAAGTATACAGCCATAGCTTACGGTCTCAGAGTATTCAAGTTTACTTTCTTTTATTTTGACTGAATTCTCAAAGTCTCAAACAAAAAACATAAAGCCTAAACGGCGTGGAAACTGTATGTTAACTCAAAATCCTAGTTCTTGAAGTGATACTGTGGCAGAAGGGATCATTAAATTCATGGACAACTCATTAGTTCTATCATATCCCATGGCCACATATTAATTTGTTTATAAACTAACTTCAGGTTGTTTCACATTAAACACCAACTAATTCACGGTGAGATCAGATCAAGGAGGATGACTTGTAAGGCATAACACCTAACAATCTTGTGACCTAGCTTGTGATAGGTTGACACTTGCGACACACTTTGTCCGACTTGTGAGGGCTCACCACTTTGAAATACCAAAGCAGAGGAATCATCAGCGAAAGCATGTATATCATCGATTAGTTTATTTGGGATACACAAAAGGGTGGAACAAGTAGAAGTTAAATTGGGGATAGCGGATCCCAAAATCCAATCACAAACATGGGAATAGTCATCAGAAATTCCATGTACTTGAAGAGTTGAGAGAAGATGAAAAGTCTTATATTTCACTTAGAAAACCTGATACAACTTACTACTGTATTTATAGGAAATAGTAGTTCTGAAAAGTAAAAGGGCTGGAAGCCCTAACACAACCCTAACATAAATATTAATAATAATAAAAACATTATACTTCAACACTCCCCCTCAAGCTGGAGCATATAGATCATATGCACCAAGCTTGGAACATATAAATTGAATTCTAGGCCCCCTTAGAGATTTGGTCAGAATGTCTGCGAGTTGTTCATTAGACTTGACAAACTCAGTAACAAGATCCTATGACAATAACTTCTCTGTAATAAAATGACAATCAATCTCTATGTGTTTTGTTCTTTCATGAAACACTGGATTGGAGGCAATGTGAAGGGTGGCTTGATTGTCACAGTACAACTTCATCTGCTCATTTTCACAAAATTTCAACTCTTGAAGGAGTTGTCTAATCCACACAAGTTCACATGTAGTTAGAGCCATAGATCGATACTCAGCTTCAGCACTAGATCGAGCAACAACACTTTGTTTCTTACTTTTCCAAGATACAAGGTTCCCTCCAAGAAACACACAATATCCTGTGGTAGATCTTCTGTCAATTGGACAACCAGCTCAATCTACATCACAATATCCCTCAACTCGAGTGTTTCCCTTGTCCTCATACAACAATCCCTGTCCTGGGTTCCCTTTTACATATCTAAGAATGCGAATCACTGCATTCCAATGATCAACATGTGGATTTTGCATAAATTGACTCACAACTCCTACCGGATAAGAAAGATCAGGTCTTGTTATGGTAAGATAGATGAGTTTTCCAGCAAGCCTTCTATATCTCTCTGGGTTTGAGAAAAGTTCACCTTGGTCTTTCATTAACTTTTGATTTGAGTCCATAGGACTATCAATGGGCTTGCAATTAGTCAGACCTGTTTCCTCCAAAATATCAAGAGCATATTTTCTTTGTGAAATGATGACACCTTCCTTTGATTGTGTCACTTCAATACCAAGGAAATATTTTAGCCGACCTAGATCTTTGGTCTGAAAGTGGTTGAACAAATGATTCTTTAATTGAGCAATTCTACTAACGTCATTTGCTGTAATAACAATATCATCAACATAGACCATAAGATAAACACATTTATTAGGAGAAGAGTGACTATAAAATACTGAATGATCCGCCTCACATCGTTTGAATCCAAAATTCTGCACAACCCGACTAAATTTACCAAACCAAGCGCGAGGTGATTGCTTCAAGCCATAGAGGGAACATGTAATATACAAACTAACCCAGACTCCCCTGAACAACAAACCCAGGAGGTTGCTCCATGTATATCTCTTCTTCTAGATCACCGTGAAGAAAGGCATTTTTAATGTCCAACTGGTAAAGGGGCCATTGATGAATGGCAGCCATAGCAAGGAAAATACGAACAATATTGGTTTTAGCCACAAGAGAAAAGGTATCACAATAGTCGAGGCCATAGATTTGAGTATATCCCTTAGCTACCAGACAAGCTTTGAGACGATCGATTGCACCACTAGGACCAACCTTAATAGCATAAACCCATCTACAACCAACAGGCGTCTTACCAGGAGGAAGAGGAACAAGGTCCCAAGTGCCATTGTGTTCAAGTGCCTGCATTTCATCATGGCTTGTCGCCATCCAGTATGACCAAGTGCCTCATGAACATTATTAGGAACCTTAATGGAAGATAAAGAAGAAACAAAAGAGAAATATGGAGGAGACAAACGATGATAACTCAAAATTATAAACAGGATAAGGATTACGAGTAGAGCGAATACCTTTCCAAAGGGCAATAGGCAAATTATTATCTGAGTCAAGAGAGGGTGAGGAGAATGAAGGATCCATGGTTTGTGTCCGATGCTGATATGTGAGAAGAGGTGGAGGAACAATGTCATTTGCATTTTGAGTTTTAGGTAAAGATGCATGATTAACCAATTGATCACATGATGGTAGAGGAAACATTTGTTGAACAGACGATCCTCCATGGGGGACAAGAAAAAAGGTGTATCCTCAAAGAATGTGATATCAGCAGACATATAATATCTCTTGGTTGAGGGAGAATAACATTTATACCCTTTCTGAAGGCGAGAATATCCCACAAAGACACACTTAATAGCTTTTGCAGAGAGTTTATCAAGACCTGGAGATTATCAGATTTAGACACATGAGCAGCTTTGTCTGTAAAGTCATGGAAGGAATAACATTTATCTTGGGTATGACCCATTCTCTTACAATATGAGCATTGAGGACGTCCACTTCAACCACCACGTCCTCCTCGGTTGCTCCTACCTCCTCCTCTTCCTCGTGGTGTCACCATTGTTGATGTTTCAATAGCATCACTTAAATTCTCGTCTTTAACCAATGTAGGTACTCGAAGGAGTCGAGAAACTAAGCCATCCATCAACGGGATTTGATCACCAGCTAAAACTTGATCACGTACATGATCAAAATCAGAGTGTAAACTTCTCAAAATTAGGACCATGTAAAACTTTACAAGCTTTTTGTTGATATTTTCTAATGAATCAGCTACAAAGAAGTTCTTTAACTCTTCTACCGCATCCCGAGCTTTTGCTTTATGGGAAACCATATCATGGTTGACTTGTTTGAGAGAAGTTGCTCTTTGGGTTGCATCGAAAAGACGTTGTACATCATTAGCAAAAATTTCTTGGGCCCTTTTCGAAAAAGAGGAACATGTCTTATAGGGTCTCAAGATATCTAGAACCTCTTGCTCAATCGATTGCCACAAAACAGCACATAATTGAAAGTCTAATTTCTGCCACTTAGATTTTTCTTCATCTGGGACCATAGAAATATCTTGTTCAAGGTGATTATGGTGTCCTTCACCAAAAAACCACAATTCCACAGCAGAGGACCATGATAAATAATTTTTCCAATTCAGTTTTGCAGAGGTAATGATAAGGGTAGCAGATAAAGAGGAATTAATTCCAGTAGAAGAGCCCATTTTAAAATTGTGAGAAGAAGTGGGACTTAGGGTTTCAAAAAACGTGAGGGAGGAAACCCTAGGTATGAGCCCAAGCCAACTAAACGGAGAAACAAGAACCAAAACACACTCAAGAAGCCCCGACGAGACGATCTGCAGTGACGCGGTGTAACTCCGACACCGGGAAGAACACACGGCCGAGACTGGCCGGAAAGAAGCGACGCGTGGCGACTCGTGCGGAGGCTTCGAAGGACAGGACCACCAGGGTTGGGTTGCGCTTCTCAAGGAGCACCAAACCCTTGACTTCGTCGGAGAAAGCGACGTTTGGCGGCAGACAGCGGAGTGAACGGCGGAAATGACAGAGAGACGATGCCGCCGACGATAGACGAGGAAGACACAAAGGTCTGGCTCTTGATACCAACTTGAAGAGTTAAGAGAAGATGAAAAGTCTTATATTTCACTTAGAAAACCTGATACAACTTACTACTGTATTTATTGGAGACAGTAGTTCTGAAAAGTAAAAGGGCTGGAAGCCCCTAACACAACCCTAACATAAATATTAATAATAATAAAGACATTATACTTCAACACATGTAAATCCAATAACATGAAGAACTTTGATTGTTGCACAACATAATTAGTATAGGATGATGAACTAGACAAAGTGGTAGTAGCAAGGGTAACAACAGAGGTAGAAGACAAGGAATAGATGGAAAGGAGAGAAAAAAATATCTAAAAAACAAAGTTCTCCAATCAAGTCAACAAACACAAATCCAGAACAAGGAGACGACAATCCCAAAGCAGGTGGTCGCTACCAAAGACAATGCAAAACGCACCACCACGCTAGCATAAAGCAGTGACAGGTGTGTGATTACGAGCAGTGCATGAGGGCACGTGGGAGCTTCTGTTATAGACATTGTGGTCGCTTGGCCCAAATGATTTGATTGCTGAGGTCACCAATCTGAATGGTGGCTCCAATGACGGCAACAACAGTTGTGGCAACAATTAAAAAATATATATGGGGTTACCTAAAACCCCTAGCTCTAGATACCATGTGAAAATAGTGAAAAACTAGGTAGAAGACTAATTCCCCTTGTGTAGAAAATACATAGGGTAATGTATTTAGAAAAATATGAGCTAAGCTCAAATATATATAATATTGTAACTAACAATATCTAATGATATCTTAACAATATCTAACACTAACACCAACTGGAGATTGCTTCCCACAGTAAGAGTTCATGAAACAGAAAAGCAGCCAATCCTTGTACTTGCTGGCAATTTATATTGCCTCACCTATCTTATAGCATAAATGGCGAACTACTCTAAATGCTCACATTTAAAACCTTATTTATAGTTCTAAATACTCAATTTAAGATCTCCTGAACTTCAATGGCTTTTTGGATGTGATGAACATGCAAATATAAATCTAATTGTTGGGAATTACTACATTTACAGTAAAACAATTACCAGGAAAGAATACAATCAACCCTTCATATTTTGGAACTGTATCTTTGACTGAGATATTAGGCCCTGGAAGTGCTATCTCACGCTCTGCCAGAAGATCACCTTCTTCATCCAGGCCTCCCTCAACAATAGCCAAGAAATCTTCAGTTCTAACTAAATTACCCGCAGAACCTATCAGAACTTGGTTCTGTGGACTACGTTTTGCAAACTGTTCAAGAAATGGTTCCGCTTCACTCAGATATGTTGATGATGACAGTTGCTTATTTCCACACTTCCTTCGTATATATACAGCCCTGTAAGCAGAGAAAAGAAAAGATCCTAACCAAATGCACCACCAAAGTATGAAAAAGAAAAATAGACAGGCAGACAGAAGGCAAGTCCAAACTCAGGAAATCGAGAGGAATGATTCAGGAGCTACCATTCATCAAGCATCTTGCTAAGTTCTCTCTGCTTTGCTGGAGACGTTCCCCAAATTTTCATTTGTCTAGAAAGTAAAAAAGAAGTAATCAAACAAAATATTTAACTCAGATTACATAACGTTGGATGACGAGCATAAAGTTAGATAAATAGCAAGATAGTTTGTAAAATGGAGGAAGGGATAGATTTAAGATCAAGAAAGGCTTTGTTTCCATGATTTGTTAAAACTGCCCAGAAAAGGTACATGTTGGGGGTTAATTTGTCACACTATAAACTCAACTCATATTTACAAGTTTACCTAATATAAAAAATAATAAAATTCCTAGAATTAAAATATGTATGAAGCATAATACTTGTAACACAACAATAATCTAGTATTAGAACTCCGTAATAAAGAAAAATAGCTCTTATTTAGAATGAATAAATATAAAAATACATATTTTACTCACTCCAGTATAAACTATTTCAAATTGCTCTAATTAGCCTCAACATGGAATAAAAGATTAAATTTGTTAAATGTCATCGTTTGTATATATCGTAAAACTAGCACAGATAACTGAATCTGATCATAAAATTACAACCCCGAAGCAAGGTTAAAATTTGACAATTGCTTTGGAAATCCCTATTATAGATCACCATTCCTTAAAAAATTGCTCAAATTCTAACAATGCGTTATCAAACTACATTCTTAACCATCATTTTTCAATTGACTACACTAAAACCATTTTTAAACAAATCCAAAAATTCAAAAATAAAACAAATTGCCACAAAAAAGAAACACAATGAAACCAAATATCCAGAAATGGATTAACACGAATCAAGAGGAACCTCAACAGCCCCATTAGCAGAGGTGCAAGTTCTAATTATCTCTTTCACAGTGCTGCTGATACCATTGGTTATGGTTTGTTTATAACAAAGATGAAAAGAGAGAGGAAAAAAAACAAACATGGAAAGGTTCAATTGGTTCATCAGCAGCCATCAATGGAATCTTCAGCCTTCAATGGCTTTTAATTCAATTGGATTGTCTGTCTTCAGAAGAGAACACAGATGAAAAATGAAATGCTCTTAAATTTTGAGTTAAAAATGTGTCTTAAATAGGATAAAACAATCATTTTGGTAAAAGGATGGCTTTTCATCAAAATCATGAACATGACCTTGAAAATGTGATTCAGTTTGAGCCTGCTCAAGTTACCACTTGCCAGTGCTGGAATAATTCTGCAACCATTTTGGCTTGGCTGAAAGCATATAGGATCATAAATCAGGAAATTCTACTAAAAAAACTTGAATTTGATAACCTTGGAGGTACATCATGAGGTACTTATATTATGTAGCAGAAAGAAAAAAATAAAATTAAGAATTAGTTTACTAATAAATATCATTCAATCCCAATTTGGCAGTTGTGCAAAGTTCAAAAAATTTAAAAACCCTTTCTATTAAGTTGTTGTTTGCTTATGAAGCCCCTGTTCATGCTTACAAAACTAGCCTAGACCTAGTAGAACAGTCACATAGCAACACATCATTCATGCAGCAGAAAGAGTGATGCTGATGAACAAACTGCCCAAATGTCAACACAACACATACACATCAATCTAAAATCTTGACCATGAAATTTTTAACTGGAAACATATATAAAGTAGTATATGCAGTTAGCCAATTATCCAAATGTAAACTTGCGAAAATATGGCAAACCAAAGTCCGCTGAAAACTAGATTTCAGTTCTCTTGTGCAAGCAACACATAATTCACCTGAGGTAATAAGACTTGTAAGCAGCTGGACCTTCTTTGAACAGAATTGACAGGCCATTTCGAATAAGAAAAGTTCGCAGCTGGGGCAGAGATAAAAAATAAGAATAAGAATAAAGCATAGTTATTAGATTCTTAAAATACACAATTCAAATCCTACCACTGGGCATATATTTGGATACCTTCCTATTTATATTAGGTGAATCTCAAATGATTTTTAACTTCACAATGCATTAATAAATTCATACAATTTTTTTATCACTATAAAAATCACACAATTCAGTGATTCATTATTTTCTCTTTTTATACTTCTCTTCCACCAATTCTCACAAGAAATTGCAAAGTCGTTAAGCTTAAATTGTTAAACGAAAAGGAATTGGAGTGCCACTCTTAACCAATTTGATTATTCTACCACTTTATTTGTCACTCTATTTGATTATTCCATTGCTTCATTTTCATCCTTCTGAAATAATAGCTTCACAAACAAAAACATAACTAGTAACTTTGTTTTTTAAGGGCCTATGTCTTAAGTTGTTTTTTTCTATTTCTAGTGTAAAATTATAATGTTAACCACTATATATCATTTATATATGTTTGGAACTGTTTCTATCTTTGAATCTTACCATTTAGCACAAATTATGATTTATGATTCAAAAATCACCATTAGAATCTCGATTTGTTAGCCTAATTAAGGCCGTTAGTATCTAATAAGACATCATTCTTGACCAAAGAGGCGCGCCTAGTAATATCACAAAGAAATGAGAAGTATTTTATAACATGATTTCAAAGCAATTCCAAAAGGAGAAAAATGAAGGCTGGTGAGGATAGTTGTAAAGAGAAACTGAGATGCTTCATGGATTCAAAATATTAAAGCATTTAAGGGGGCCCTGTCCGAGAGACTTAGTTTAGGCTGGTGTTATGAGCAAAGTAAAGCATCGGTGTCACCAATAGTTCCAATCCAACATACAACAGATTATCATTGCTTTGCAGCTTCTCTCTCGTATACCACTCTCAAGGAGATATTTTTGTAAGACTACTGGATTACATAAAATATAAAACACATTAAGCCAAAAAAGACACAAACTACATTTTGTCACTTGATGACAATTTTAAAATTGAAGGGTAGAACAGATCCGTTATATTATAATCTCCATGAGTAGTTATACCATATAATTACATAACAATATTATTTAAGGTTAATCATTCCAGCAGTCCCTATTTTTGTTGAAAGTCCCGAATCAGTTCCTTGAATTGGATCCCTACTTTTGAAAACTGAAAGCAATGAGGTCCTTTTCATTAACGTAGTACTAAAGGGAGTGTCACTTTGAGTTTGTAAATATTTTTATTTTTATTTTGTATATACTTTTTTCATAAAATAAAAATTTGTCATGTGTCAAATTAATAGTGTGCCACGTGGTAATGTCACATGTCATTGCACAGTCTCAATTTGGTATTTCTATTTTCATTTTCTCTTAATTTAGTCCAATATTTTTTTTTTAAATTAAACAATTTTGTCTTTCTCCAAATTAAAACGAAATTTAATTTGTATATTGATATTACACAAATATTTTTATTAAAATTGATATTTTAAATACTTTTAACAAAATTAAGTTTATTTATAATTTCAATGGAGTTAATTATATTCTTTAAATATATCTATAAGAGTTAAACATTGTTTCTCTTACTCCTTCTTAAGCAAGAGAAATGACTTTTAATTCTTATATTTAAAGAACCTAATTAACATTTATATAATTAAATATAAATAAATTTAATCTTGTTAAAAATATTTAACAAAAATATCAATTTTAATAAAAATATTTCAATAACATACAAATTAAATTTCATGTTAATGTGAAGGTGGACAAAATTGTTTAACTTTAAAAAAAAATTAGGACCGAATTGAGACAAAATAAAAATACAGAGACTAAATTGATACTAATGCAATGACATGTAACATGACAGTGACACGAGGCACTGCCACATCATATTATCATTATTACATGACACAATGTCAGATTGACACAAAAAATTTATTTTTAATAAAAATATTAAAAAAATTAAAAAATAAAAACACAAACTAACATGTGACACCTCCTTTAACCGTGTTAGTATTTGATTGCATCAATTTTTCAAAAATGTATGCCCTCTCTATTATTGGTGAGCATTCTTTCGGCAAAGGGATTATTGCTCCTTTGGACTTTCAAAAGAAAGAAGGTAGCGAAGAGTCCTTTGAATAGAAGGAAAATCCCACTTAAAAGAAAAAATGTAATTATTGATGGAGCTAGGAAATAACCTATACAAAAATTTAGAATGATATAGATTACAAATGTCATGAGTAGTTCAGTTCAGTTGTAGCAAATGCGGACAAAAAGAGAAGAGACCCGGCCGGCTCCCCCAATGAAGGTTAAATGTATCATTATTTTATTTAGACCGTAGTCTAAAGAAATAAGATTCGAAAAAGCGATACCAAAAAAAGGTATCAAATAGAAGAATGGTTCTATTCTAGATCCTTCTTTTTTATATATAGATTCTTTTTTAATAAAAGAAAAAGATAAGAATATACCATATAGACTAAGAAAGAGCAACTCAGTCACCAGACCGAATCCCCAATCACCCATTTTCTGATGAAAGAAGATTAAAAAAGTAATGTATAGTAATAGTGTTGTGTACCGGTGTAGGGTATATTTTAGGTATATAGTAATAGTGTTGTGTTGGGTATATTTTAGGTATATAGTAATGGATTTGTGTAGGGTATATTTTAGGTACTTTTTTGTTTTTTAAGGGGATTTAATACAAATTATTTTAAACAAATTATCATAAAGAGACCTATTAAATCCTCTTAAAAAACAAAAAAGTACCTAAAATATACACTACACAAATCCATTACTATATACCTAAAATATACCCAACACAACACTATTACTATATACCTAAAATATACCCTACACGGTACACAACACTATTACTATACATTACTTTTTGGGAAAGGACCACCACAAAAAAAATGAAATGGAAGAAAACATCAGAATCAAAGAATAAATAATTAAGACAAAAAATTGAGAGACCAATATGTGACTTTGACCTAAAAACAAAGGCCACTGGAATGACTAAACATATTATTTAATTATATAATTTCATATTTCAAAAATGAATGTATACCTTATATGTAAGAAATTTCAATTTGACCATTAAATTTGCATCTTCGTCCGCAAAGTCATCTTCCCCAGCATTGTTGCTACCAGTTTCCTTTACACTGTTACTAGAAATTTCAGCAGCTGTCTCCTTGTTTGCGTTAAATAAATTTACATCAACAAAAAAACCTGGGAAAATTAAGGAGTCAGAAACTTGTATGAATAAATAAGAATAACAATAATGACAGAAATTTGGTAATGCCATTGACCATCATGGTGTTCCCAACCATGAATCTGTTCCAGACTTTATTAAATTTAGATCTTGGAGTTGCATTTCCAATAAGAGAGAATTTTTCATTCTTCTCCTATGAGAATGTATCCATTGGAATAGTTAAAGGGGTTGTAAATATTTAGTTTTAGGATGTAGGCGAAGTAGAAGTAATGGACAAAATATTACAGCTGTACAGAAAGAAAAATCAGGTTCTGTTCTGTCCCTCTGTAGAAGGAAAATCAAGATCTGGTTCTGGTATGAAGTAGGCTGCTAGACAATCATTTATATTGTGTAAAGTTGGGGTGGCCCTTATTTTAATATGTTTTCTTTCCAAAGAAAAAGCACCAAACATTGAACAAAATAAAACTGTGAATAAATTGGTCATATATAAAATGTTATGCAGTGTTCTTTCACAAGCTTCAGCTCATCAGTAGAGTTGATATAATACAATACATGCTCTATATCCCCAAAATTTTCATAATTTAAGTTTACATCTAAAGTTGAATTTTTTTTTTCAAATCAAGCATTAAAAGGTATAATATATTTACGAAAATTATCCACAGGATTAATAATTTATTCCAACTTCTCTATTGCTGCTTGGGAGAGCATATTATCAATACGTGTCTTTGATTTGCATTTTTTGAATTTCATAGTAATTAAATAAATTTGGATGAATGAAACTTGTTTAGTGCTTTTGACATTTTTAACAGTAAAAAGTTAACTAAGCAACTTCAATTTCAAAACTCATGATCCATAATGCAAGAGATTAAATTGTCAAATATACATTTTCCATTCAATCATTTACATCTCTCAACAGCAGCTATCAAATACTAAAGGCCTAAACAAAATACCAAAGACCAGTACATACTTCTTATTGGCAACATGATTAACAATATTAGTTGCTCAAAGGGAGATGCAAACATTAGCTTAAAATTTTTACATAATGAATAATAGGATATTAGAAAATTGAATGGAAAATAAAGCATTTACCTCGATATAATGGCCATAATCCTGGCTTAAGCCTGAAAACAACAAACATTCAAAACTCAACAAATAGGTAAAACTTTTCACGTAAAATGTTGAAAAGGCTGAAATAGAAAGACTTTTAGAATATTAAATATCTGATTAATTAGGGAGAAATAAAAAGTTAGACCTCATATCTTTCTGGTATCGTCGAAAACCAGAATCACTGTGTACATGAATGACCATTTTATAGAAAACATTGTCACTTGACATGCCATCAACCTTGTGGAAGTTATGATAACATTTGAAGGCAGCAGGGTAGCGTTTCTCCCTCATTAACCGAACAACTTCCTGATTCCAAATCAAATCAAAGCTATGGTTGCAATGACAAAACGGAAGACCATAAAACATTGGATTTATAAAAGGCATAAGCATTGGAAAATTAAAATAAAATTTCAGCACAAAATAAGAATTGGGAGGCCCTCTCATCCACGCATTGAGAAAAATAATGATGATTGAAAACTATTAAAGTCTAGGAGGAAAATACTATTATTATACACTTGTTTCATTATACAAAAATAATTTATAGAAATGAAGATTTGTGAACTAAGTAATGAATTGAGGATATACTTGTTTAAAAATCAGGATATGCAAACTTTGAAACTTGTACAAGAACAAAATTGAATGCATGGAGTTTGTGGAAATTAGCATAACTCCAAGCGTAAGGTTAGGATGTAAGAAAGTCTAAACTGACCTGCAATTTTTTAGTTGAATAGTCTGCAGGATGGGCTTGTAAAAATTTTGAAAGAACAGATCTGTCCACGTTTCTTGAATGATGATCGGCACCATGAGTCCCAAACCAATCCAACTTGCTAGGACAAAAAGAACTACCAACACTCTCGAGAAGTGCTTTTATTTGCTGCAAACATTCCAAATCAGAATACCTGTAAGTCTATCAATGAACCCATATTTCCTGCTTGACAGCGTCCCACCGTTATCTTTGCTAGAATTGAAATGTGCTATAACTGGAAGAACCCAAGTCTACCCCATGAATTACAATTGACAACTTCTAATTAAGGTAAAGTAGTTTACTTTGTACCTGTTTTTCATTATCTCTATTTTCTGCACATATTTCCCTTAGACTTGGTCCAAAATCAAGGGCCACTGAAAGAGACAGGAAAAATCATATATTATTTTAAATTACAATGTATACTTTGACCAATACTATGATTTTCAATATCTGAAACTATGCCCTAGAAAAAAGATCTCACTTTGCTTTGATTAGGTACACTTGTACTTATTACTTGTTACGTGTACTAATATCTCAAGCTTTAGCATATCTAATCAACTCTCAACTATCAAGAATATATTACACGGCATAAAATAACAAGGCCATCAACTACGAAAATCAAAGTAAAGGGCACATGATATTTAGAGAAATAGGCGTACCTCCATCAGCAGGTGGAGGTGGAAATTCTTTCAAAGTTTTCTCTATCTGGTTTGAACTATCATGACTTACAAGACGAGCCACAAGACCTTCTAAAATTTCACCTTGGGCCTTAACATGGTCTTTTGAACCTGGAGTTATCAAAACAAATGTACATACATTTGTAGTGAATTTAACAAATAATTCATACATAAATTGATTTTCCACAAGAGACCAAAAACAAAATAAAGAAAATGAAATACTTAGATTAACAAAGCACATGGGATTGAAATTGAAACAATAATACATAAACTACAAACCTATGTGTTAAAGGTCTCATGTTTACTAGAGATATGACCAAATTATAATATATGAATGGATTTAAAACTCACCTTATAAACTAAATTTGTGATATTGAGTTAGGTTGAAAATACACTTTCAAAACATTTCAATAGATTCAAACTTCAGAAAGCAAATTTAAGTAGAATATTAGTTCATAAACGGAAGCAGCATTAAACACCCGAAATTGATTTCAGAAGGATATTGTTTGCCTATGATAAAAGTAAAAAAAAATGTGGGAGTGAGAAATGCTTAGTCTACCGAAAGAACCATGTGAAGCTCAAAATTTTTACCTGGTACTGAGATGTCAGCAATTTCGTCAAGAGCCTTGCAAACAGACGTTGCAGTACCCTCCTCACATAATGCATCATACGCAGCAAAGAAAGAAGTGGCTGATTTTCTACATTTACATAAAGCTATGATAGTGAAACCAAATTTTCCACATGTTTTTTAAGGCTCCAAGTTATATTAATGATAAAAATTCAAGATAAAACATAGGCCTCGAAATAGCAAAAGATAGAGAAGACGTCTTAATAAATTAGTTCATCAAACATATTATATAGTTATTCAAAATATACTAAGTTAAATGAATATAAAAAATTCTACAAAGAATACCAAAAATACATTATACTCCAATCTAAGATTTTGGTATCTACATAATTGAACCATATCAAAATTAGTACCCAAAAAAAATTCAGTATTTTTAATACCTAACATAATAAATATGCAAATATGGTCCTCAGAGTAACTTTACTACTTTTGGATTAATAATATTGACATGTAATCATCCTAGTCAGATACTGGGAAGTATGCTCATATGTAACACTATTATGATTAGCATGTCAATACCATTAACTGAAAAGTAGCAGCATAATTGTCAGGACCAAATTCACATATTTATTATATGTTGAGTATCAAAAACACTAGAAAAATATTGGAAGTACCATTTTTAATGGGACGATTTTGGAGCTTCCAAAAACTTATTTAACCCACCACAAATAATAAATTCACAAATAAAAGGTATTTATTTAGAAGACAGTTTGGTGCATCAATATAAGTACAAATGGTCCACTAGTTCTTATGCAACCCTAGTTATTTTAGTATATCACCATTTTAAAAAAGCAAATTTTAAACAAATACAAGTAAATCATGTGAGGTATGTCAAGTAAGAAAATCCTATACTTTTAATAAAAAAAATCATTTGTCTTCACCTTGTTGAAAACAGCCACACATGATTTGTTGGAAGGCGCCATTTTCGACAGAAAGCTATTATCTCAGGAGTTGAATAGAACTTTGGCTTTCCATTGCCCAATTCAGTAACTGCCGTAACTACCGCTGTCCAGATTAAAAAGAACACCATGAATGTTTCACATGAAAAACACCAAATGAAATAAATCTTTAAGCAGGAATAGTATAAATTGGAAGCATTATTTGCTTCCTAATGTGGTAGACCATTCCCATGGCAACAGTTAACTCAAGAGTTTCACTCCCTTCTAAACTCCTGGTCCAGGCGAAACTTTGAATTTCTAATAGTGTGAATCAGAAAGATACAGCAATAACTAAAAGATCTAAAAGACAGATCAGGTGTATGTAAAGTACAATTACTACACAGTACTACATATTTGAAAGGTTTAATTAAGTTTTAAGTCCTTAAATAACTTTGGATGTTTTCAATTGAGTCCATGTTAAATCTTTTCTGTCTTAATTTTACTATTTCTTAATTGAGTCCTTATGGTTTAATTTTTTTTGGTTATTGGGGGACGTGACTACTATCTTGCCACGTCTTGCTTTTTTTGTCTCCACATGTTAAGAAATATGAGATTTTTAATTAATATAAAACAATATTGTGTTTAATGTAAAAGAATGAGTGACTCATTATTTCAATATTGTTTCTTATATTAATCACAAACATCACCTTTCTTAACACATAGATACAAGCACGCAAGATGATAAGGCAAGATAATAGCCACATCGCCGAATTATTGATAAAAATTAAATGAAGGAGAATCAATTGAAAAATATAAAAATTGAGTACTTAGTAGACAGAAAAAATTTAATAGGGACTCATTTGAAAACACCCAAATTTATCGGGGACTTAAAACTTAATTAAGCCTACAATTGCAATTGAAGCTATAACTTATAACCGTACAGCTAGTCTACACATAGCTATAATATCCTTACAATTCAATATCTGAAATCTGACATAGCCATGAACAGAATAGTTGACCAAAATTTTATACATAGTATTTTGGCTGATCAGTAAAAATCAGTTTGTAGTAAGCAATAGTCTGAATTGTATTTTCAGATTTGTACCTAGTTTTTCAACTGAGCTCACAAAGTAAAAGAATTTTACCATAATCTTCTTGGGGACGCTGTCCATGGTCTCCAAGAACAGCGGTTACTAGTTCCATTGATATGCTCATGTGGTTTCTCTGAAAGAGAAGGTAACAACAACATTCATTTCATGATGTTGGGCATGAATTAAAACTAGAAGTTAAATAAATGCAGGAGCAAAATTCTGCGCACTAGTATCAACTTATAATTACAGAGTGAATACGATTCAACATCCACATGAACAGGAAGTGCATGTTTGAAGGGATGAAAAATATTAGTCAAAATTATACACAAATTGCAAATATGCCTAGTTCAAAAAGCGAGACAAACAGAAAACTAGACGATCATCAACTACATGTATAAGCTAATGTTTTATACAATTTTTAACTACAATCACGCAAACTATTAGAAAGTCCAACCCGAGAGAGAGAGAGAGCGGGGGGTTGGTAAATTCTCAGATAAAGATTGGAAAACAACAATAAATATTACAATTAATGTGGCTTTAAAAAACTCTCCTCAAGCCACAATATATTAAACAAAGACACCCTGAATTTTGAAGATAAATTAAAAGGTCCGAATGTGCATGAACGGAACAAATGTTTGGGATAAAATTATAGCAAACTTTAACTAAATTTATTAAAACATGCTAAAGCAAAATTTAAAAACTGAAAAAATTCAATCCTCTAAATTTGATCTAATCCTGGAGATGCTCTTGCTAAACACTACTACCATAGAATCCTATATATGCTATTAAATCCAATCCTCTTTGCTCTTTATTCTTGATTTACCTCAAGAAAATTATTAAATTCAGCCTGCTTTTTTGAATCTTCAGTTCCCCATGCCTCACGAAACATCCGTCCAAGAACAAATACACCAACAGCAGTATATCTGCTCAAAGAAAAAATGGTACAACCAATAAATAACAAAATTAACTACATAAAACAAGACAATAAAGTAAAATGTATTCGTAAATATGGAAAACCACTGCAATTATACTCCTAGAAAATCATTTACGTACAAATGAAGAATTTTCCCATGCCACAACATTTCACCATTAGATGAATTACTGCATGACCATTGTTCAAAGTAAAGGAATAAAGAAAATATCAAGCATAAGCTATATGAAAAGGAAAACATAAAGGAGGCATGATCTGTCTTGACCATACATATTTCCCAATAAAGACAGGATCCAAATTACTGCATGACCATTATACACAATAAAAGGCAAAAAATAAAATATCAAGCATAAGCGAAATGAAAAGGGAAACATAAAGAAGACGATATCTGGCTTGATCATACATATTTCCAAAACTGTTTTTTGCATAAGCTCCACCCTCATGACCCGCATACATAAAAAGAGAGCCAGAATGTTTAAGTGAAACCTGCACAAGCAGTTGAATAGAATTAAATTCACCACTGTAAATCAATCAAATCAAAGTTCATCCAGCTAGAGTATTGATCAGAGCCCTAAAAGCTTAAATAAGTTTATGTAACATGAAGTATAATTGCCATACCTCTAAGGTAGCCAACCCTTTTGCTACCAACTCAATCATCCTGGTCCGGACCTACAGCGATACAGAAGACATACAAGTAAGAGTCTTTAATGTATACACACGTGGATAATTCCAGGAATGAAACAATACCTCTTTATCCAGAAAAACAATTTATTATCCCACTGGCATAAAATATTAAAACCTGAGTCGGATAGAGACAAGTAATTTACTCTAATACTTTTTCTTAGAAGTTAAAACTAATCGTAACAATTAAAAACACATCATGCAGCCTTTAGGAACTTGGGATCATGTCATGCCTGAGTCAAGATCTAAAAGCATTGCAAATTCCTTCATTTCAAAGAGAACTTCTGGTTCTAGGAAATGTGGAAGGATCGAGTGCCATATCAGCAAACATGGAGCTGAGTAATTTGCCACGAGACATAAATACATATTCCCACATCAAGAGAAACTCGAGGCTATAAAAGTTTCTGTTTGGAATTACGACTTATAACCTAACTCAATTGTACAAAATCAGCTTAGGTAAGGTGAATTTAGGTGAAGATTGTTTTCGCCTTATAGGAACTACATTGATCATATCTCTACCTGATCTGTTATATCAACAGTTATTTTCTGGAATTAATTCTTACTTTATTTCACTCTCCCTGTATCATAAACTCCTATCCCTCAAAACATCAATAAAATATGTGTTTACTTTGTCTGGAGGTATCCAAGGAGGCTAAGATTTAAACATACTTCAAACAAAAAGCGTAGATATCACATGACAGACACATTTCTGAACAGGAAGAAAAAAAAGCAATACAGAAAGAATATACCTCTTGATCCGACTTTTCATTTTCAAATTTGGGATAGAAAGTCGCTCTGATTTGTGCACGTGTGTACGTGGAGTTGTTCACAGTGAATTTCTCTAACAGATTACCTCGAAATATCTTACTCAAACTACTTCCACTATCCTTTTGCGTCGAAGCCACACTTGCCTCAACTCCAGCTCCATTTTCCACTTCAGTAACAGCGCCTCCACTCGCAGTTCCGTAAGATTTAGGTTTCCAAATCGAACCATGCGCACCGGTTTTCCCACCGTTATCACCAATACTCAATCCAGCAATCTTATTAGTAACAGTTTCCGCAGCAGTTACGGCAGCTACGTCTCCCGTAGCCGGCAACTTCGCCTCAGTTTTGGCTTTCTCTTTCCATCGCCGCTCCATGTACGCGGCACTTCGCTGCAGAACATTCAACCATTGGAAACTCAGCGCGTTCGATCGAGAAAGCATAAGATCACCAAATTTCAATTTGGAAGTAGGAATTTGACAATGAAAGCAAGGAGAGTCGAACGGAAACGATGAATTAAGAAATCAGAGGAGGAATAGTACCTGATTGCGAGGCATTGGAGAGAGCAAGGGAGTTAGGGTGAGGTAAGAGCGAATGAATGGAAGGAAAAGGAAGGTTCTAGATTTGAAGGTGCAGAGAGAAGAAGAGCGAGGAAAGGCGTGGGAGAGAGTGCAGAGAAATCTCTGCGGTGCCGACATCCAAGTGAAGACGGTTATATAAAAATATATACTGAGAGTGTGTGAGGTTTGCGATTCGGATTAACCAATGGGAAGAAATTGAGAATAGTTGGAAGACAAAGAGGCGCTTTCGGGAACAGAGACTGGGTAAAGGGGGAACTAACGTAACGTGGGTTACTGCGTCTGGCTGAAGTGCAGCGCCAGCGCCAAATGCTTCACGCCCTGCATGCCATGGGGTGGTTTAAGCGATTAAATGAGAAGAATTAAAAAAAAATCAGTTAAAAATAAAAACTTAGATCAAACTATATAAAAAAAATCTACAAGTTAATTTATGAAAAAATAATTTTATGTAGACACTAATACATAATAAATGTATTCGTTAATTTTATTTTATTTTTGTACAAATGATCACAATGATAGGTCATTGCATAATGTAAATGTCATATTGGTTTAAATTGTTCTGAATAATAATAAATACAAATAAAATTCGTAAAATATTAATGTTGAACCAAAAAAACACTTACAAAAAAATTTGCTGAGGTATGTTATGTGGTATGGAGACAGATGATGTAACGTCCCAAATATATACATGCATATATAATAAAGACGTCATCATGCATAATATAGGAAAGCAGTCAAGAGTATTTAAGGATTACAGTCATCCTCAGAATAGTGCG